ACAGCCACTCGTTACTTCTGATAATTCTTAACTCATAATTCTGATTCTTCTCCTTATGCGTCTCCATTGAAATTTCTCCTTGCAAAGAACAATTCATTTGACTTTTATAGGAGTAATATGAATTGGACATTTGGCTCTTTGCCTTTACTGTGGTTAACTGCAAAGATAATAGTAGCAATATGAAATTTTCCACTCAAGGAAACAACTCAATGACAGGATAAAGCTATTATCACTAACAATGCATTTCAGTTACTAAACACACGATTCCAAAACAAAGTTAGCTTCCTATTCTCTGAATGCACTGCTTTGTTCCTCTACCTAATGCCAACATTGCCAGGAATCAGTTACCTCTATGTCTCAAAGTGTTCACTTTGTTTACATAAATTCCTACCTGGTTAAGCAGGCTGAAGAGCCAAGTGTACATGTGATCTTTCACTTGATGAACCCAACTATTATAACTATCTTTATTCTATCAAATTGTTCAACCTGTGCCTTGAATTCTACCAAACTGTTTGTCTTTTCTGTTATACTTTGCAAGCTTTCGTCCTCACTACTTGGTTCACCATACATGCAGTTCCTCATTCAATGCAGATTCTGAAAAGATAGGCAACTACATGGACTATAACTTACCAGTGCTTTCATACCAAGGGAACTTAGGCTACAACTAAACAAAGGAAAGGAGAGTGAGCAATGTATATTATCAAATATTTTCAGACAACAGAGACTTCCATAGAGTTACCACATAAATGTGGTATCCAGCAAAAGGAGTGTAATACATGATAATAACCACTGCACCAGAACCAAAGAAAGCATCAATAGGGGTGTTGTGAAAATTAAAAGGTATGCAGAAGTGTGCTACAACAAGCTTACCTACACTATAGGGCCTGCAGTTACAATGGAAAAAAAAAAGAAAATGAAAAGCAGGAGAAGAAAAACAATAATATTACTACTAATAATAAAAACAATAATAATAACCAATTTAATCTGAATTACTGATATAAATAAAGACAAATAAAAGAAGTGTAATGACTTTTGAAACATTTAATACCAATACGAACAAAATAATTTCCTCAAACAAAACTAAGCACATATCATACAGTATTTCTTCCTCAATGTTATAGCTTCCCCCCCAATTCAATTATCATAACAGGTTATTCTTTGTTAACTTAAATTATCTGCTTGAAAGTTTCATGAACGAGCTGAAAAGGTGTGGCAAATTTGCATTCACTCTGCAAATGCCAATTCAGCCACAGAGAAGTAGGAATATATGACCTACTCAGGACACCATGACAAGAGTGATGACTTTCACATAGAGTATTCCATTCATTCAGAAATTCATTTATAACATAATAGGCAAACAAGCTTTGTTGGGAGCTATAGAAATATATCTTGGTAGACACATTATACGACTATGATAATGAAGCGACTTTGCCAAACTACTGGAGTTTTCACCCTAGAGAAGAGTCCCCCTCAAGCGAAGCTGGCTTTTTAGTGTTGGTTTCCTCGAATTTTTTTCCTGTAAATAATAACTTGCATGGAAAGTGTATTCTTACCACTGCTTTTAGTATTATAGGATATATATTTTATCATTTCCTATTCCTGGATAAAGAAAATTGAAAACTATCATGAGAGAGGGTTTTCTGATTAAATTCCTGATTTTCTAATTTCTCATGTAACCCTTCCTACCTCACACACACTTTCCCTTTGAATCTTGCCGCTGGAGTGAAATGTCAGCCATGCTCTTTAAAGATGGGAATAAATGAATAAAAAAATTATATTAACAATAATAACAATAATAAAAATAAATACATAAATATTCATAATCAATAATCATGAACTAATATTCCAAGATTTTTCTACTTTTTACACCTCTTGACTTGTATTGATAGTCAGCTGACCCAAGTGCTTTCCTAAGGCTCATGGTTTCGCTAATAGGAAGATGAAATACCTAAGATGCATTTCCTGCCGCTAACGTGAGGTGGCTGATTCACACAACGTTGAGCCGGGTTCATAAAATGCAGGAATAAGTGATAGGAGACGGATTCCTAGTGTAGGATTGCTTTCTTCCTTATGTTTATCCTTCTCTAATACTGACCCAAGAAATCTATCTTAATCCTCCTCCTAGCAACCCTTTTTAAGTGTGTTTCATGCTCCACTTATGGTTAACTTATATGTGTTACACGGAACCTGTAAGATATTACTAAATATTACTCTTGCTTGGAGAGGCTGGCATAAAATGGTCAAGGCTTTCCACCAAAGTTTACCTCAACCTCTCCCAAGTTTGTTGATCAGGGATGGGTTACTGAACCTAACAGTAGTGCTGGCCGTTGGTACAAAAGATGCATAGCTATTATCAGTACCCGAACGTGTACTGCCAGCCAGCCAGCCAACCTCCGACAATGCTCTAACTGTCAGGCATATCAAGTGATCAGAAAGTAATTAATCAATCATCACCATGTTGAAACTCTCAAAATAAACACAAACTATTATCTGTCAGCGAAGGTTTAATCCCTTCTACAGAAATGTCACATAACATATCGCGTGAACCAGCATCAATTATAATTGATACAAACGTCGTGTGAGTGAGTAAAGGTGTCTGTGTTTAGTGGTGTTGATTAATTTGGCATTAAGTTCTAACACTGACAACCAAAGTCAAGCATCAAGCAGATACTGCCAGCAGACTTTAAGGTGTTTGTAAGACTGAAGGGAAGGTGATGGACATGAAAATATCACCAAGTAGACATTATAAAGGTAAGACACAGATGTATATTGCCGATGTGAGGGCTATAGAAGAGCAGACGGCAGTTGGCTTGATTTTGTGTATGAGACAACTCTGAGCATCTTGGATCACAAAATCTTTGCATGTTGTGTGAAGTAGCATAAACAAGTAACTGAATTATCAATCATTATTTGAAAGCATCTGGAGTCTTAATACTTATGTTTTTCTGTGTGTCTGTGTCTGTCTCTTTTTTTTCTTTTTCTTTTTTTAATACTGTTGAATATGATAGGTGTGAAGAAAGCAAGACTTTCCTAAGTCAAGTAACGATTGAGAATTCAAGTAAAAATCTCGATATGGGAAACTTTACCTGTTGATTAATGCTATTGCACGAAATCAAAACTACCAGTAATAATTTAATTTACTCTCTCAGTGTTTTGCAAAATCATTGCCATATTAGTGAATTTCCTGAATTGCTGTGTTCACCACACCTTTGTTAATGATGAATAATGTGACGAACAGACAGCCAGGACCCATGTCGGGAGGGTCAGGGATGTAGCTTTGGTGTTGTTCTTGTAGTCGCTTACCCATCACCTTCTTCAGCAGCTGTGTGCCCCCAGTACTTTGCTCTCTCTTTACACATGTAATGTTGCAAGTATGTTCTCCATCTGAACCATCAGAGTGGGAAAACTTTTTGCATTTCTGTGCGCAGCTGAGAGCTCTGAGCCACACATCGGCTCAAGAGAGTAATGGGTAACTTCGATACAAAAACATCTTGCGACCTTGGTCGGCCCAACACAGCAGTTGGGCCAGATTACTGCTGCCCCCATAGACACGGCCTATGGGATGCAGCTCCAAACAACATACGACGCAGTGCCACTCCCACAGCTGGGCACGGTGCCCACATGCACACTGACCCCCTCAGGTTGATGACCCTTCCACACAGCTGGCTGTGAGGCATGGGGGATGAGGGAGGGGCAGGGGCGGGGCCAAGCCGACCGGCTGCGACAGTCCCATGTGGGGAGCAGAGCAGGGCAGTGAGTGGCGACAGGCGTCTGTCACGGGCGGCACAACACCCACAGAGCTAGGGTGATGATGCCAGGCAGGAGATGTCCAGATACAAGCACCGGCACCGCTCAAGGCAGCAGGCGGCTGTACTCCACGAAGAGGCTCCACTTCCGCACACTCTCCCATGTGCGGCACACATACTGGTACCTGTACAACATGCAATCGGGAATCACACACTGGGGCAAGGAAAATGAAAAATACAGCAGCAATGGTTACTATGTCTTAGGGACTTTCATTCTACTGTATTCCTGATGGGTTCCATGCCATCTAACCCACTGATCTACTAATAGAACTGATGGCCATAAATAATCTCATTCCAATGTAAAACACCCCCTCAATACTCTGAAGGATATCTCTCTTTCCATGAAGGATAAAACAATGGATAGCTAAGTAATAATTCACTGGAAACAAAACCCTCAAATTTACAAACCAGGATTTCTCTGTAAGTGTGAGGTGGGTAAGGGGCAGACGACGCAAACTCAACACCTGCCGTCGCATCTCACGCAGAGCTTCAGAGAACCTCACATGACCTGAAATATTCAATTGTTTCAACTGAAGCCAATTTTATTTGGTTACCTCACAACCCATAATTACTATTAAAAAGAGTGAGAGAAGGAGAGAGGGAGAGAGTTAGAAAGGAAGAGAGGGTGGGGGGAAAGAGGGAGAGGGAGAGAGGAGGGGGAGAGGGAGGGAGAGAGGGAAGAGGGGGAGAGGGAGGGAGGAGGGAGGGAGGAGGGAGGAGGGAGGAGGGAGAGGGAGGGAGGGAGGGAGGGAGGGAGAGAGGGATGGATGAATGGAGAGGGAGAGGGAGAGAGAGACTGTGGTATGCTTGCTTTCCCTATTTCAGTAATAGAGGGACTAGGGAGGGGAAGGGGAAGAAAGAAGGGGAGGAAGAAAGAAAGGGAGGAAGAAAGAAAGAAAGAAAGAATAAAGAAAGAAAGAAGAAAGGAAAAAGTTGAAATCAATATGAAATACAAGAAGGAAAGAGGAAAAATCAATGACAGGAAATCTAACTGTGATATACCATGAATATTCTTTCTATTATATGTACAACCAATGACTACTGTTGCTTACTCTGGGGCTGAGAGCGCAAGTCTGGCAACAAGAAGAGGTTGACCAGACTTCCACAGGATGTCTGGGCCAGTGGAGCATATGTGAGGCCATTGCAAGCCCCTATTCGACTCTCATTCTCCAGGCACGAGCCCATAAAGGCTTCCTGGTACACACCCTGCAGTGAAGAATGGGAAATATCAAGTACTGTTAACATTACCTGGCAAGTTAATATTTCAACGACAATAAAATTTGTGTGTATATGCATAGTAGTATCTATTTGTTTATGGCCTGCCTGCTCCTCATCATTCAGAGTAACATGCTCCCAAGGCCTTATTCTTACCTGCAACTTCTTCAAGGTGGAGGGGGAAAAGTGATGGGAGGGAGCCCTGTTGTGCACGAACACCACATGTGGAAAGTACTGCTGTGTGTCATCCCCTCCTGACGGGGCTGAGGGTGAAGAGGAGGAGGAGGAGGGTGTGGAGGAAGATGAAGGTTTCATCATCTCGCATGTCTGCAGGAGGCGAATCAGATTGGGATCTGTGCCAGAATCCTGAACGAGGACAACCACATGGGCAATGCTCATCACCAGTGTCAGCAGCTGCAGTGACTCCACTTCCATCAGGTTCTCTGTTGAACTGCAATGATGGTGAAAGGAAGGATCCTTTGTTTTAGATTGCCACACATATGTTTTAGCCTTAATTACCAAAATACCGCTCCACAAAGTTTCCTCCCACTGATGTTCCCAAGTATAAAGACCAACATTTCCTAGTCAATTTTCATGTCTTCTATCCCCCTCTCCTCTCGACTACTTCTGAATGAAGGAATGGAAAGGGTTAAGCTTACTTGTAATCTGAAGTGAACTTCTTCTCCTGGGTGACAATGCGGTCCATAATGGAGGGTGAGAGGAGTGGCTGGCAGTCCAGAATGAAGAGGCGGTGGCTGGTGATGTAGATGTCAATGCCGTTGGTACCATGACATCCTGACATCAGCTGCTCCAAGCTCTCTGGCCGGAAAGTGCATGACCTGGTGGATGAGGATTTGCTTTAGCTCGGAAGAGGTATAAGGATTTACACATAAAACTATAACATTCTAATTCTATTTGCATATTAGAGAGAAGACACAGTATAAATGTTCAAGGGAATAAGCTTTTTAATTTTGATGGTTACATAAAGACCACTTGTATGTGGAAAGCTCAGGGGCAGTATTCAGGTAAAGTGTATGACTGTTCTTCACTATTTTTTCTTTGACTTGCGCTGTTGCCAAACATTTACAAAGTTGTAGACCATGAAGATAATTGATTGCAGTAATATATTTAATTACACACAGTAATTATTCTCACATCTATATCTAACTGTAATTTGGGCAACCATAGGTCTTGTGAAAGCACATGGTTCCATTTGTATTTTTGAATAGGAAATTGATGTGAACATGTAAAAATGGATCAATTAATAGTTATCAATAAATCAAAATGGCCTCCAAAGTGTATTTGTCATTACTGGTGTCTTTCACTAGGCAAATTTGTTTATGACTCCCCATGAAAATGTTTTTGACAGTCAGTTAGCTAGTTTTTGCCTATGATTTGGCCAAAGTTTAGGACAGGTGTGGAAGTGTTCCACATGTGTAAGCACCTGTCTTAAAAAAAAAAACAGTGTAAATTTAAACATAAATGAAAGTAAATATACACTGAATAAAATAGGAAAACTTGGAATTCCCTTCTAATTTATCCTCAAAGTTAATTTTTCCACATTTTATGTCTGTAAGGACTGTCTTTAACTGTCTTTGAGTTGTCAAATATTAATTGAGCTGTCTCCTACATTTTTATTCATATATCTTATTAAAAAATACAAATAGCGGCACCTGCCTTTACAACTGAAAAATGACAGTAAATGCCAAACCACATTTAGATATGGTAAATGTGTATTATTACCGTTATAGTATAAGCAACATTATTACCATATTTACCTCATCTTTTTATTACAACATATCATCAAAACAAGGTCTACACCAGTAAAAATGTTTGTCCTAATAACAGCATTAGCTTTGAGATGCGGCAAGGGAGCAAATCATAAGACAAAATTCGCAAAGAATAGTCATAGATCTTTCATGGATACTGCCCCTGAATTAAGTCAATCACAATAATCTAAATAACTGCCCTACCAAGAGACTTTACTCTAAAGATCTGAATAAAAATCTAAGCATCCATTTACACTTGTCATCTTTGTGTTCTGGATCCACGCTAAATAAGACCGAACGTGTCGACTGAAAATTCACGTCTAGGGCCTAAGGAGAACTTTAAAACGAAAAGGAAAAGGTCGTACCTCATCTTGTTTATATCTGTCTCGGGATCCACAAAGAGAGAGGCCAGAACAGACTTGCCGACTCCTTGCGTCCCCATCAGAGCCACCACCATGAAGTTGCTCTGGTCCAGCAAGTACGAAGCAAGGTCGTCACACAGATTAAGGGTCTCGTCCAACAGTCGTGCAGGACCCTTCATCATCCTCTCTGGGGTCAAGGAGGCTGCATTGGGCAAGAGAAAGAGAGAGATAGGAATGTAGGCGACAATGGAGACAAAGGAGTATCTCACAAATTTCAGGTTAATGCAACCAAGATATTTACAAAACTGAACTAACTGCCCTTGTAATTAATACTATAGAAATATATTTTAACCATATAAAAATTTTGCATGTATTTAACAAGCCAGAGTGAATAAACTCGAGATACTTCTGCATAAACAGTCTGCCTTCAAAGTAAATTGAATCTAAAGGCAGTTGATGGGTACTTCAAAATGACTCAAAAGATAAAACACCACTTTGCATGTGAAGACAAACACATGGATCATTCCATTGTCATTATCCTTCTATTCACCAAGTCGCATCCCCTGAGTCTCTGATTGCAACACCCATACACCAAGATAAGAAGTGTTGGGAAGGCTTCCAGGTGTTCAATGTACTGGGTATATGCACTGTCCACTGTAGTTTTGTTTTGTCAAATTTAATAATATATAGATGGCCTCATAGGTGTCAATTGCTAGCTCTCCCTGACCACACCTGTTTATGCCACTCCTTGAATTTTTGAGAGAGAGAGAAAAAAAAATAATAATAAATAAATCTTATCATTATTAGCCTTATAAATAAAACGATTATCATTGTTAACATTACCAATATTACAACATTCTCAGCAAAATAATGATATTGAAAACAATTTTTTTTTCTCTCAAAAATTCAAAGAATAGGGTAAACAGGCAAGATGATGTAGGCCTAGTAACTAGTTTCTTGTTGAATAAACAACTGAGGAGCCATCAATACATAAACAAAATCAATAAACAAAGAATCACAGTGGACAGGGTATGCATATGTACTTCTAGCATCAGTGAATTAAAAGGTCTGTCATTATAATGAAGGTCAGTCATTATATTAACCCATTTGCCACAGATTTATGTTCTGTGGGATAAATAATATAAACAAATAAAATATATAAAGTAAATAAACCTAAAATTTCTTTAAATCGATTATACCTTCTTTAAGTGCTGCACATCAAGGAGTCTATCAGTAGGCCCTAGTTACCGACCCTGATTTTCCCATTCATTGAACTGGCGGGAAAATTAGTACCATTGCTTTCGTTACTGTTATTATTGTTATTGATGTTATGATTATCATATTGTCATTAGAATATTTTAGACAATGAAATGATACAAAAAACCCTTTCCTAAAGCGAAGGGAATGGGTAAACAGGTGAAATAGGTAGTTCTTGATAACTGGCTATTTGGTGATTAAGAACTTGTAGAGCCATCTATGTGTAAATACAATAAATAAACGTGTATCAAAGTGGGTATGGCATCTATTCTTGCCACGTGTGGCAAATGGGTTAAGGTTTACATTTGGGGTTTACATCCTTGTGAATCATCTGTAGGAGCTAATGAAGCTAGTTAAATATACAGTTTACTATTAGCAAAAAAGTGTGAGATCTAGATGATGAACACAACCAATTACTGAAAGTAAGGTGTTGCCACATAGTATATTTTTTTCCTCTAGAAATTTAGGTACATATGCAAACAAATGTACAGAAAAAACATGGAAGACCAACCTTCCATGAGAGGCTTTGAAGCAATCTGGTACTGCTGGCTGCTGGAACTTCCTACCGTCACAACACTGGGGACTGAATCCTTCCTAAAAAGAGGCATTTCAATTTCAATCTTCTTTCACCTCCAAGGTATCATAAACACAAGCTCTCTAGATAAATGGCATAGCTGCCCCCCCCAAAATAATAACTATACAGCTTAGGAACAGAAGGAGAGCATACAGATGCGTTAGAATATCTATGCTAGTCTGTTGTATGAACATTTAATTTAATTTTCAAATATGGATTGAACAAAATGCAATAGAGCAAGAGAGCACAAAAGGGAAAATATCAAAATGGAAAAGGCCTCTGAAAACAAGCGACAACCTACAAAAGGAAGGCAGAAAGGCTTCACACGAATGGCAAGCAAGCATACCTCACAGCAGTCACTGATGGGTTGGGTGAGGTTGACCGGTTCTCACTGTTGCTGCGCGCCCTGGATAAGATAACAGGCGTAGGCGTGGTGACACTCTGGGAGCCATCGGGGTCTCCTCTGTCCGCCTCCTGCCCACGTCCAGGGGGGCGTCCTGCGTCCCGGGTGAAGATGGCGTTGCGGCCGCCCTCACTGATCTTGAGCATCCCGCCCCCATAGCTGCCCCTCTTGTCCCAGTCATCGTGGTAGCGGCCTCCGCCTCGCTTCTCCCAGTTGTGGGGATGCGGGTGCTCGTAGTGGTTGGGGTAGGTGCCCGAGCCACCCTTGTACTCGTGGGGGGGCTTCCCTAACACCTGGATTGCTGGAGCTCGCATGCTGTCAGGCAAGAAGGTCTCAAATTCCCTGTCAGGCTGAAAGGGAAACATAAAAGTCAATACTGGAAAAACAGATCTCGCAAGGTGAGCGGTCTAGGGAATCCAATACCTGCAATTGCATGTAACAATATGATAATTACTTAATCTTACTAACAGCACCAATCATTATTAATATGGCAATAGAGATAGGAGGGGGAAAAAAAAAAATACAGATAGTCCCCTATTTAAGAATATTCTACTTACGAATATTCCATACATACGAACAAAGTTTTCTAAATACTTAAGTCAAAAAAATTGTTT